TGCTGATTGGGGCATCTGGATTTGGCCATTTGGGGCACTGAAAGTGGCGAACTTCCAAAACGTAATCATCCTGAAATGAAAATCAACCCAACTATTCACCATTTTAATTCCAATTCTATACTGAAAAAATTATTTTTTTACATCTTCAGCCTCTGCAATGTGTAAGTATTTCAATAATCCTCTGGAAGGAGGAGCCAAGATGGCAACCAAATTAGTAGCTTTTTTTTACAAGTATTTAACCTCTCCAAGCAATCAGAAATGAATTCATTTATGATGGTAACAAATGTCCCAACCCTCTTAGTTGTATATAAAGAGTTAATGCTACTGGCATAAGTTTTTTTTTTAATCTTCCCCAATATTACTAGAAAGAAAAAGGTGATTCTTGGTAGTACCTAATGGTTCTGTGCTGTGACCTCCCCTTGCTTTAAGGTGTACACTCCAGATGCAATAGTCATATCTCTAATGTTGCTCCATATCCTATTTTCTAAAATTTAGGGGACACTTCTCCATCAATAAATTTATCTTACAGATGTTCAGTGTCATTAAATCCACTGTATGCTGAGTCCAAATATAATAGCTAGCCAAGTAGGATGTTTAGATACTGCTCATAGTGCATGTGACAATAATGAAGGAACGGTGTTACGTTTTAATTATTAAAAAATTAAAATAAAATAATGACAATAGAAATGGCACTTGTTATGTCTGTCCCAAATGTGAGATAATCAGTCATTCAAAGATCCATATATATAGAACATCCTGGCATTTCCAATACTGTTTCGCTGCAGAACATAACAAAACATGTTAAATATTTTCTGAACAACAGCTTAGCTTGTCTGGGCCACTCCTGTGACAAAGGCAAATAGCTTTTTGCTACCATGTCTGTTTTTTAAAAAATTAGTTTCAATATGAGCACAGTTTCTTCTATAGGAAGCATTAGAATTTCTCCATTGATCCTGAAATTGCATGGAACATGGAAGAAAATTTAGTAAATCTTAGGAGGAATATTAATTTTTGAACAAAACCTGTCTACTGCTCTGGAACAAGTTGCACTCTGAATAAGTTGCTGTCAGTAGGATCTGGAAGAACAGCTAGTGAGTATATATTGCAAAGTTTCTAAAGGAAAATATTGAGCTTTGAAATATAGAAAGCTTTTTTTCTTTTTTTAAAGTGGGATCTCAAACCTATTGTGTGTTTTTGTTTGAGAAGTCATTTCATGTTCAGCTCTGGTAAAAACTGAAGCATTATAGCTTTCTATGGAAACAGTATGCTGAAAACAAAATTGGGATACTATAGAAACAATCTCTGAGAAGGAGGAATGTAAAAGATAAGAAGTCCATCATGACTAAACACAGCAATTGCACTTATCCCATTGCAAATCATTCATCTCAAGTATTAACTAACATCAGCAGGAATTTGAATGTCAAGCAGATTTCAGATTCACCTCTGGAAGATGTTTTATATACCTGAGTAGCCTCAAGGATAAAGTCATGGATGATGATCTGCTCCTCATTAGAGAGGCACAGACGGTCCTTGCTGATAAGGGTGACGGTAAATGCCTCACAGTTCATGGATTCTTCCCGACTTGGCCAGTACACAAACTCATCTTCTGCCTGGAGACAATTGAATCAAACAGGAGACATTTTTAATATATGTCTTTAATCTTTAAAGAGGCAGAATTCACCAGATCAAAACTTCATTTAATAGGCAAGATCACAAACTAATTTTCTGCAAAATGCTTCTCTTAGAAAAAAACAGTATACCTACTGCTGGAATACTCTGTTCTTCATCACAAAATCTTACCTTTAATTGG